TGATAATGATAATGATAATGATAATGATAATGATAATGGTAATGATAATGACAATGATAATGCTAATGATAATGGTAATGAAGAAGATAATGATAATGGTAATGGCAACGATAATAATGAGGATAATGATGATGATAATGGTAACGATGCTGATAATGATAATGGAAATGATAATGAGAAGGATAATGATAATAATAATGATAATGGTAATGACAATGCTAATGATATTGATAATGATAATGATACGGGTAATGGTAATGCGGCTGGAAATAAGAACGATAATGATAACGATAATGATAATGATAATGATAATGATAATGATAATGTTAATGATTATGATGATGTTAATGATAATGATAACGTTAATGGTAATGATAATGATAATGATGAAGATCATGATAAGGATAATGATAATGATAATGGTATTGATGATGCTAATGATAATGAGAATGATAACGGCAATGATAATGAGAATGAGAATCATAATGATAATGATAATGGTAATCATCATCATAATGATAATGAGAATGGCAATGACGATGCTGAGCATGATAACAATGATGATGATTATGATGATGCTAATGATAATGATGGTGATGATGATGATAGTGATAGTGATGATGATGATGATGGTGATGATGATGATGATTATGATGATGATGATGATGATGATGATGATGATGATGATGATGATGATGATGATGATGATGATGATGATGATGATGGGCATGCGGAGGGCAGAAGCACGGAGATCAGCAAGGGAGGAGGGGGCAGCGGGAGTGAGTGAGAGACGCGGGGCGCTGTCTCTTCAAAACGAGGACCCAACACCACAGGATGGTTGGAAAAAACACGCTATTCTCACGAATTGGAGCCTCCCAAAATCACGAACGGTCTCGATCCCTTCTGTAAAAAGAAAGCTACTCTCACCCTTCCAGCCTCCCCAAGTCCCGAGCGTGTGGCAAGGCCATAGGCTTCTCACCATGTCAGCCTTCCCAGGACACGAACGTTTGGCAGGGCCATCGGGTTCTCATCAGTTCTGCCCTTCCAGGTCACAGACGCGTGGCAGGGCCATGCCAGTCTTGCCAGTCCAGCCTTCCCTGGTCAAGCAAGTGTGGCAGAGTCATAGGATCCTCTCTGTTTCAGCCCTCCGAGGTCACGAACGTATGGCAGAGCCAACAGATCCTCACCATTTCAATCTTCCCAGGTCATGAACGTGTGGCAAGGCAATGGGATTCTCCACAAACCAGCCTTCCTAGGTCACGAACGTGTGAAGGGCCATCGGAGTCTCACCATGTCAGCCCTCCCAGGTCACGAACGCGTGTCAGTGCCATGGGATTCTCACCATTCCAACCTTCCAGTAACAGGGACGGCGGGCTCTCACTATGATGCGCCTGGGGCGCCACTTCGCTGGACCCCTCCAAACGCCCGCGAAAGTGGCACGAGCTTCGCACATCGCAACCCCCAAGGATGGCGAGATCTGTCTGATCTGCGTGAGGCACCACTTCGCGGGACTTCCCAGGGGCCCACGAGAGTGGCGACAGTTTCGCTGCATGCAGCCTCCCGGGGACGGCGAGGTCTTATTCTGATCTGCGTCAGGAAAGCGGCGGCAGCTTCGCAGTACGCAGCACCCCAGAGACGGCGAGGCCTCAGTCTGATCTGCGTGGGACACCACTCTGCTGGACCTCGCAGAAGCCCACGAAAGTGGCAACAGTTTCGCAGTTCGCGGCCCGCCATAGACGGCGAACTCTCATTCTGATATGCGTGGGACAACACTCCTATGGACCTCCCCGGGGCCCGCGAAAGTGGCGACAGTTTCGCCATTCGCAGCCCCCAGGGACGTTGAGGTCTCATCCTGATCTGCGTAAGAGACCAAGCCGAGGGACCTCCCAGGGGGCCACGAACGTTGCGACAGTTTCACAGTTCGCGGCTTCCCCCAGGGACGGCGCGGTCTCATTCTGATCTGCGTAACACACCACTCCGCGGGCCCTCCCAGGGGCCCACGAAATAGCTACAGCTTCGCAATTCGCAGCCCCCCAGGGATGGCGAGTTCTCACTCTGATCTGCGTAAGACGCCACTCCGAGGGACCTCCCAGGGGCCCACGAGAGTGGCGACAGTTTCGCAATTCGCAGACCACTTTGGGGACGGCGAGTTCTCATTCTGATCTGCGTAAGACGCCGCTCCGCGGGACCTCCCATCCCACGAAAGTGGCGACAGCTTCGCCGTTCGCAGCCCCCAGGGACGGCGAGTTCTTGCTCTGATCTGCGCAGGACGCCGCTCCGCGGGCCCTCCCAGGAGCCCAGGGAAGCGGCGACAGCTTCGCCGCTCGCAGCCCCCCAGGGCCGGCGATGCCTCGTTCTGATCTGCGTGAGACGCCGCTCCGCGCGACACCCAGGGGCCGGCGACAACGGCGACATTCTCGGAGGTCGCAGCCTCCCAGGGACGACGGGGGCTCCTCCTGATCTGCGCGACACGCCGCTCCGCGGGACGTCCCAGGGGGCCGGCGACAGTGGCGACAGTTTCGGAGATCGCAGCCCCCCAGGGACGGCAAGTCTCGTTCTGATCTGCGTAAGACGTCACCCCGCTGGACCTCCCAGGGCCCCATGAGAGTGGCGACGGTTTCGCAGGTCGCAGCCAACCAGGAACGGCGACGTCTCGTTCTGATCTGCGTGAAGTGCCACTTCGCAGGACCTCCCGGGGGCCCGCGGAATTGGCGACAGTTTCCCATCTTGCACCCCACCCACCCCCCAGGACGGCGGGGGCTCATGCTAATGTGCAAAACACGCTACCCCGCGGGACCTCCTAGGCATGCAGCCTCTCTCAAGCACTTCGCCGCCCGAGCTGCTACCTTTGAGCACCCTGGTCGCCCAGCGCCGCGCTGCACAGCTCGGATATGTGATCGCGCGCCTCTCACCGTTCGGCAGCTGGCCGGCTTTGAGAAGTCCGACCGTGCTCGCAGGCAGCCTGCCCATACGCGGTGGCGTGTTTGACCGATCGCCTCGCTGCTGTACAGCTTTGGCGAGGGCGATCACTCTCCTCACTGCCAGCTGCATCATCACAGCCATCGTGCTCTCGTGCTGCTGATGACTCTACTGAGAGATACACGAGGTTACAACGAAGGCCAGAAACGCTTTCCACGTGACATCGCGGCATCCCCCCACGCTCCCTGAGATCCATATACATATATATAGAGAGAGGTGAGTATACATATGAGTACACGAGCGCATGCAATGCATACATGCATACGCAAATACCTAGACGTAGATACACAGACGCACGCATGCAAATGTGTATATATATATATATATATATTACACCCATACGTAGCAGTACACAAATACATACGTAAACACATATCATTAGAAATACAAATAGAAATAGACGCCACCGCGCCTGCACGGCGGCGGCGTCTTAGAACGCCTCAGAGCTGCCTGACAAGGCTCCTGTAGTCTTAGGTCTTAGAGTGTCGCATGCATCGCCCCCTCGTCCCGAGGCTCCCTGGACGGTCCAAATATTCACAGTATGGTTTCCAAGACAGCCTGGGCAAGCCACAAAAGGCCACAGTGACAGCTCAAGGTGGCCTCAAGACGGCTAAGATGCCCCCAAGAGGTCCCAGAAGGTTCAGAAGAGGGTCTTCCCTTCTCCGTTCCTCGCCTCTCCCTGTTGTTTTATCCCTCATCTGACGCGTTTAGGGTCTGCCTAAATGAAGCGTTGCAGGCCAGGAAGATGTATCCCGCAAAGGGGGTGCAGTCGAAGACGAAATGGGCGAGTATCGCGGGCTTGGGTTACACAGGTTTAATGGCGCGCGGGCAAGTCAGAGAGGACAGTCTGAAAACGAGTTGTAGTCGTCGCTCTGCGTCGTCGTTGCGCCCCGTCGTCGTCGTCGCTTTGTCGTGTTCAGGGCGTTGCCGTCGTCGCCCTGCGACCCACTCCGAGACCCACCCGCGCCGCGACCCGCCCGCGACACTGCTTCAGCCGGGTGAGCGCGCGCGGCGAGACGACGGACGACGGACGACGGACGACGATGACGACGATGACGACTACGACAACGACGACGACGACGACGACGACGACGACGACGACGACGACGACGACGAGCCGGCGCACGCAGCGGCCTGTCTCAGTGGCTCCGGGGAGCGCCGCTGCGCGCCCCCGCCTACGCGACGCGCCGACGGCACGCCCGATGGCCAGCCAGCGGCGACGGCGGCCGGCGACGGCGGCGGGCGACAGCGACGACGACGACGACGACGACGACGACGACGACAACGACGACGACGGCGACGACGACGACGACGGCGACGACGGCGGCGACGGCGACGACGGCGACGACGGCGACGACGGCGACGACGGCGACGACGGCGGCGACGGCGACGACGGCGGAGGCGGCGGCGGGGGCGACTACGACGACGACGACCGCGGCGGGCAGAAGGGTCGCGCCCCGCAGGCCCGGGGGAGCGGCCCGGGCACCCCCGCACCGCGCAGTTGCCCTGTTGGCAAGCTGCCGGGCTTGGGCAGAACAAGATAATCTCAAGCCGGGCCTGTTCTCCCAGAGGGGGATGTTGGACGAAAGCTACAAAATACTCAAAAGATACCCCCGAATGGTCAAGAAATAATCAAAAAAAAGTTCCCAGGCTATGTTTGGACTGGTTTTGAATATTCCTCCTGTAGAAGGACGTGCCCGACTTAGAGGTAATCCCAACCGGAAAACGATTTCGGCTTCGTTTCATGTTCGTGTCGTGCGTACGAGGCGAAGCTGTGTGCGTGAAGGATCCTCATCTACCTGCGTACTTGATTCACGTCACGAGGTCTCGTCACCTCACCGCCGAATGTCTCTCCTGGAGTTGTCTCGATAGTTGTCCCGGAAGGCCCGAAGGTAGTCCCCAAGGTTGTCCCGATGGTTGTCCCAATGGCTAAACGGCACAAGCCTCTTGAATCATTAGACGAAGTAGATCTCATTCAAAACCCACTACGCCATCTCACCCAAAACCCGCTGCACCAAATGGAGAATGCCTACTACTTGTTTTGTTTGTGTCTTATTATTTCTTAACTCGCGAGCCGCGCCGCGTATTGCGAGCCAAGGTCGCATGCATGAAATCTCCATGCACCCGAGAAGACGGCCAACAAATCTGCGGCCCGATCCGTGTATCAACATGAACCTTCGTATCCACGTTCGCAAACTCTGCACTTTGCAAATTCGTGAAGACGAGCACTGGAACCGCACAGAATGTACGCAGGTACAGATTAAATGATTCAATGTGTATTGCTGGTCAAGCACAGCCTGGCGAACGCAAACTACGGAACCAAACTGCGGCACGCACGGGCGGCTGAACAAAACATCATGCAGCGGGCGAGTGCCGATCCACAGGGGACGACAGCAACTTTGCTGCCACATCCAGGTCTGGTCGAACTTAGATGCTCATTCTGGGGACCTTCCTGGAGCCACTCGCTCCACTCGTGCGTCGAAGCTGCGTCGAACCTGAGTAGAACCCGAGTCGAACCTGAGTCGAATCTGTGTCGAATCTGTGTCGAATCTGTGTCGAGCCTGAGTCGAACTTGAGTCGAACATGCGTCGAACAGATCCGTTAGGTGGGCCCCAGGAAGGTCCCCAAAACGAGCATCGAATCGAACTGCTCCGAGCGTATGGTGGGCACCCGGCCAAAGCCCGGGCTCGACTCGGAGCAGGAGAGAGCGGCGCTCGCCCGCCTCGCTCCGGCGCTAGAGAGCGGCACCGGGTGCTCCACACTGCTCCAGTGAGCGCCCCCCCCAAACGCTGGTTGCCTACTATCATGAAGGGGCCCCAGGACACACAAATAAATACACACAAATAAAACTATTCTCCATATTTTCCCATATTTTCTGGGTTTTTGTCTTCCCCCCCACTTCCCATATTTTCCCATATTCTCCTGGGAATCGACGATTCATTGTGTCTGTGTTTTTTCCCCTCCTGATATCAGGGGGACGTAAGACCTGGGTACGGGGGACTCGGAAATCCCCGACGAGGTCGTCAAAAAAATGACGAGGCCGAGCCTGCATTTTGACGAGGCCTCCCGCTGCAGACATCCCACGAAACTCCTCCTCGTCAGAATCCGAGGCGCGGTCGTCAAAAAACGATGGCGAACCCGAGTCCTGGCAAACCCGGGTCTTACGCTCCCCCGATACTACTGGTTGCCAGTAGTAGTTACCATCTCCCCGCCATGCCCTGGCTCGTAGTCGCCAGTCAGCCCGCCAACTGCCTCCGGAGACCGCTGTCGCCCGATCACGAAGCCGCAGGCGGCAGACTGCGCGGAATCGGCGACGAAGAATACGCCATTACAGGAACTTCTTCGGCGCAACATAATCCGGATACAGCGCCGCGGTGGTCGCACCGTCCTCTTCGCAATAGATGCTGTGGACACATTGCGGATTCAGTCTGAAGTCTCCACAGGCTGGCCGGGGGTCCACCTGCTGGCCATGCGCGGCCGGCAGCATCATTTCTGGATCGATGGTATGAGTGACCTGCCGGCCTTCGTGCTGCGTGGCCATGACTCCCTGGCCCCCCTTGCGATGCAGGATGTATTCCTCGAGGTAGAAGGGCGTGACCAGTTCGTCCACCCCAACGTTCGCGCAAGGTGGGCACTGGCCCAACCACGGCATGGTCGAGCCAGCGTGCTTGCCCTCATCGATCACGTGACCACCCCCTTCACACATCTGCCACACAGTTGCAAACCACCTCAGTGGTTGTTCAAAACGACCAGTGCGTTTTCTATAGTTTGCAGCTTTCGCCTCAAAATTCGTGTCTCATAGTTGCGCGCTCCTGTTTTTCATCGTCTGCAGGTGTCCGCCACAATCGGTGTTTTTGTCTTCAACGTCGTTTTGGGGGCGCCTGGATCGTCCCGCCAGAGGCGGACGGCAACGAACCACGACCACGACCACGACCACGACCACGACGACGACGACGACGACGACGACGACGAAACGAAGACGACGACGATGACGACGACGACAAGAGACGACGACGACGACGACCAGGGCGCTCCGGGGATTGCAAATCTCTGACATCGGGAAAGAAAATGGAAACGCTTTGGAAACGTACTGCAAAAGCGTTGACACGTGTATATTCAGATATATATATATATATATATATACACACACATGGGCATTGTGTTGCCATGGTTTGCAAGAGCGCGTTTGCAAGACGATTTCAGCTAGAGCCCAATCGTCTTTATTGGGTTGCAGGCGTTCGCCGCGAAACTTCTATATAGATTCGTGGCCCCGCTTGGTCAATAGTTCTGAGGTCCACGTTGTCGACTGACAAGACCGACAAGCTGCAAACTATTAAAAAAAGCCCTGGCCGTCTTCTTAACACCCACAGAGCAAACCACCCATGCTTGAGGCCCTGGTGGTCGTGCAGCACCTGGGCGAGCACGTAGATGTCGTTCAGACCGATGTTGTTCCGCCTCCAGGTCCCCTTGGCGCCCGTGCACTTCTCGGGCGGAGCCCCGGCCTGCAGACACTCGCGCGCGAGGTCGAGCATGCGGCCATCGTACCACTCCAGAGCACTGCGAAAGAACTGTCGCGTTGTGGGCGACACTCGGATGGCCATCACGCCAGACTCCACTCGGTAGTCCAGGCAATACGGCGGCAATTCCTCCACGCTCTTCACGCCCGCGAGTTCGCTGCGGCAGAGGCTCTCTGCGATGTACGTGATGTCTCTACTCATCACGAAATTGTACCACCGCTGGTCCAATTCCATCCCGACCGCCGTGTCCACGTCCAGCCACACCAGAAGCGCTCCGTCAGGCAACTGCGAGGCAGCGTGGTTGATGGCAGCCAACTTCCTGACGAGCGCTTTCCCGTCCATGATGTGGTCTGACAAACCGCGAACGCCTGAAATCCTGTAGAGGTCGTCGATGCGGCCTTTGTCGGAGACCAGCTCGAGCAGACCAGGCGCAGCGTCGAACACATCGAAGAAGCAGTCCGCCACGGGTACCTCTGATTGCTTCAAGGCTGGACGGCCATGCATCACTTCCCAAGTGTTCTCGTTGTAGACCCATAATGTGTTCTGAATGTTCGGCTGGGAGTCTGGGCCCCAGAGCGTTTCCTCCCAATCCCTCAGCTTGTAACCCTGCATGTATGGCTGAGTCACTGAAGTCACAAAGACAGTAATCGGCTCGCTGCCTCTAGGCTTGGGGATGCAGGATCCTGGTGCCTGTATGCCAGCACCAGTCTGCCACGAGACCTGCCGCGGGATGCCCGCGACGCTGGCAGACTGCACCGCGGTGCCCAGCACGGGGAGGCCAAGGCACACCAATGTGCGCAGGAGGCTCCGTGGCATCCGCGTCATGCCGAATGCTGAAGCGAAGACAAGAGGACGTGTACGTACGGTAAGGAGGCGCCCCTGGGCCAGAGTCCTCTGGCAGGGCCTCCGCTGCCCTGCCCCGTGCTCTGCCCTCTGGGGAGGCGCAGATCCCACGAGCACTTTGGGGCGTGAGTGGTCCAGGGAGTTCGCCGTGCGAACCCCGTTCTTCCCATTCGGGGAGGGGGTTCCCCCTCCCAGGGCGTTCCGCGACGGGTTGGGGCATCTATGATGGCCCCAGGTGGCTCCAAGAGGGCCCCAGAGGGCCCGCGACGGCTTCCAAGATCACTCAAGGTATCCCAGCCTGGTTCTATATTCCAACGTCCCTCCAGGAGCCCTAAAGACCGCTACAGGACGGCTCCTGGTTCACTCCGAGCTCGCCAAGGAAGCCTCCAAGAGGCAAAATCATTGAAATCTCATGCGGCCTTCAATAATTGTTGTTTTCTCACGCCTTCGCTTCCGATGGGTCGCGTCGTGACGACCCAGGCGAAGGTTAGTGACACCGCGGGATCGGGGACCGTTCAACCTTCAACCTTGAACACTCGCACGTTTCTGGAACACCAAATTGTTCAACGCCAGCCGATTCTGGGCCACTGGCGGCGCGCAACGTTACGCGCCCGCGCAGAGGTCGCAGCCGCGCCGGCACGACGCGAACATATCTGCGCAGCAAACAGAGCCCTTCGGGGGTCCGCGCGGATTTCTTGGGTCGGCGCCAGTTCCCTCCTTCCCTGGCGCGCGGAGAGAGCTGGAGGTGGCGCCGGAGGCGCCGCTGGGAAATGTCCAGCGCCGACCGAAGAGATCCTTGCGGACCTCTGAAAGTTTTCATTTCTGTGGGTTGTTTTTTCCTCGAATCGGTCCCTGACCCTTCCCAGGGTCCAAAAGCACCAGTCTTCCGAGCCGCGTCTACCCGTGGCGACGAGGGGGCCAAAAAGGCAACCCTTGTCTCAACTGGCCCTCCGACGATCACTGCATTCCCCCCCTGGGCTAACCACCCCTTCTGCCGACACTCTGGTCCAGCCAGGCGCTGCTTCGTCCGTCAGATGTCGTCCGAGCCTGGTCGTTAACGAGTCCGATCTTGGGCAAGCGTCTCAACTCGTGCGCGAAGTTGAGCCAAAGTGGATACGGGACCATCCTGGGGCCTTTTCGGGTCAATCCTGGGCTCGATTCGAGATCTGACAAGACCTCTTGGAGCAGTGTCGGGGTATGGCATGGCCGATTTGGATGGCTGGGGCCATCTTGGGGCGGTAATGGGCCGTCTTCAAGCTGGCGCAAGGTCCGTCTTAGGCCACCGCGGGGGCCTTCTGTGGGCCATCTTAAGCTCTCCGCGCGGCCTCCTAAGGCCCTCACGGGCCTCCCTCCCGATTTCTGTGCCAAAGAGCTCTGAAACTTAGACGAGCTCGACTTCAGTGAACTCACCATCATCTCGAAAAAATCGGTACAATACGAATAGCTTCGCGGACCTAGCTCGAGTAGCAGACCGAGTTCGGACCTCTAGATGCTTCTGACGAACGCGCCTGGTGATTCTGAATCGAGTACGTGTGCGCATCAGCTCTGTAGCTCTCCTACAGCTCGAGTTGAGTACAGAAAACCGACAACAGTTGTAAAGAAAATTCATGCAATACGAATAGTTTTACGGACCTAGCTCGGGTAGTGGACCGAATTCAGACCTCTAGATGCTTCAGACGAACGCGCATGATGATTCTGAATCGATTACGTGGGCATACAACCTATGTAGCTCTCCTACACTTCGAGTTAAAGTTCAGAAAACCGAGAGCACCTGTCAACAAATTTCGTAGAATACGAATAGCTTCGCGGACCTAGCTCGAGTATTGGACCGAGTTCAGACCTCTAGATGCTAGAGACGAACGCGTCTGATGATTCTGGATCGATTACGTGTGCGTACCAGCTCTGTAGCTCTCCCACAGCTCGAGTTGATAACCGCAAATCGACAGCATCTGTCGAGAAAATTTGTAGAATACGAATAGCTTCGCGGACCTAGCTCGAGTAGCAGACTGAGTTCAGACCTCTAGATGCTGCAGATGAACGCGCCTGATGATTCTCAATCGTTTTCTGTGCGCACCAGCTCTGTAACTCTCCTAAATCTCGAGGTAAGTACAGAAAACCGTCAACGCGTGTCAAGATGACTCGAAACGGCCGATCCCGCCTGGATGCTTTTTGGCAGCAACAGGTACCCGATCGAGCTGATATTGAGACGGCGAGCGGGAATAATATCGAATATCACTGAAAAATACTAGAGCCCTGACGAATAGTTAAATTTCGAGAACCTAATTTTCAACAGAGCAAAAGTCACCAAAAGGTCCGTCGAAATTTGTCTTGCGAACTAGCCCTCCAGCGCGCCGGAATTACACTGGGCGCCGGAGATAAACCGTCGACCTTGGTTACCGCCAGGAGACTCGTAGAGCTTCCTTGCCAAATATTCTGTAGAGAATTAGCAGAGAACGAATAGTCTTTCAGCCCGAGTGCTGATAGCAGACTGATCTCAGGCGTCTAGATACATTTCACTAGCGCCCCTGACGATTCCCTTCCCATTGCTGTGCTAAACAGCTCTGTAGCTCATCTGCAGCACGATTAAAACCAAGAAAAACAATATCATTTTCGAGAAGGTAGCAGAGTACAAATAAGTGTTCAGCCCTAGTCCAAATAGGAGACTGAGCTCAGGTGTCTAGATACTTTCAACCAGCGCGCATGATGATTATCTTCCCATTGCTGTGCCTGAGAGCTCTGAAGCTCATCTGCACCTCGAGTTCAGTCAAGGAAACCAATTCCATCACCAGAAAAGTAGCAGAGTATGACAAGGTGTTCGGCGTCTGCGCTCATAACAGACCCAAGCCAAGCGTCTAGACACTTCAGACTAGCGCAACTGATGAGGTTCTTCTGATTTCGGTGCCAAAGAGCTCTCAAGCCCATCTGCAGCTCGAGTACAGTGAAGAATTTCACCATCATTTCAAAAAATCGGTCGAATCCGGACAGCTTTGCGGACCTAGCAGACTGAGTTCAGAGCTCTAGATGCTTCAGACGAACGCGCCTGATGATTCTGAATCGATTACGTGTACGCACCAGCACTGTAGCTATCCTACAGGTCGAGTTAAGTACAGAAAATGGACAGCACCTGCCAAGAAAAATCGAAGAATACGAATAGCTTCGCGGACCTAGCTCGAGTATCAGACCGAGTTCAGAACTCTGGATGCCTCACACGAACGCGCCTGATGGTTCTGGATCGGTTCCTGTGAATACCAGCTCTGTAGCTCCCCTACAGCTCGAGTTAAGTACAGAAGACCGACAGCACCTGTCAAGATGACTCGAAACAGCCGATCCCGCCTGGACGCTTTTTGGCAGTAATAGGTACCCGATCGAGCTGAGATTGAGACGGCGAGCGGGAATAAGATCGAATATCACGAGAAAAGATACTAGAGCTCAAACGAATTGACGAATTTCGAGAAGAAAATTTTCAAACGAGCAAAAATCAGCAAAAGGTTCGTCGAGATTTGTCTTGCCAACTAGCCCTCCAGCGCCCCGGAACTGGGCGCCGGCGGTAAACCATCAACCTTGGTTACCGCCGGGAGACTCGTCGAGCTTCCTTGCCATATATCATCTCCAAAGAACTAGCAGAGAACGAACAGTTTTTCAGCCCGAGCGCTGATACCAGACTGATTGCAGGCGTCCAGATACATGTCACTAGCGCTCCAGATGATTTCCTTCCAGTTGCTGTGCTGAACAGCTGTAGCTCATCTGCAGCACGAGTAAAACCAAGAAAAACCAATACCATCTCCAAGAAACTAGCAGAGTACGAATAGTTGTTCAGCCCGAGCGCTGATAGCAGACTGAGTTCAGGTGCCTGCATACTTTGAAATAGCGCGCCTGATTGTTATCTTCCGATTGCTGTGCCTGAGAGCTCTAAAGCTCATCTGCAACTCGAGGTTAGTCGAGAAAAGCAATTCCATCACCAGGAAAACAGCAGAGTATGAATAGTTGTTAAGTTTCTGCGCTCATAACAGACCCAAGCCAAGCGTCTAGATGCTTCAGACTAGCGCGCCTGATGATTTCCTTCCGATTATTGTGGCGAAGAGCTCTCAAGCTCATCTCAAGCTCGAGTTAAGTGAGGACACTCACCATCATCTCGAACAAAATCTGTAGAATACATATAGCTTCGCAGACCTAGCTCAAGTAGCAGACCGAGTTCAGACCTCCAGATGCTACAGACGAACGCGCCTGATGATTCTGGATCGATTACGTGGGCGTAACAGCTCTGTAGCCCCCATACAGCTCGAGTAAGTACAGAAACCCAACAGCACCTGTCGAGATGACTCGAAGAATACGAACAGCTTCGTGGACCTAGCTCGAGTAGCAGACCGAGTTGAGACCTCTAGATGCGACAGACGAACGCGCCAGAAAATTCTGAATCGATTGCTTGTGCGTACAAGCTCTGTAGCTCTCCTACAGGACGAGTTAAGTAGAGACAACTCCCAGCAGCTATCAACAAAATCGGTAGAATACGAATAGTTTTGCGGACCTAGCTCGAGTGGCAGACGAAGCTCAGGGCTCTAGATGCTTCAGGCTAACGCGCCTGATGATTCTGAATCGATTACGTGGGCGTAACAGCTCTGTAGCTCTCCTACAGCTCGAGTTGAGTACAGAAAACCGACAGCATCTGTCATGCAAATGTCTAGAATACAAATAGTTTCGCTGACCTAGCTCGAGTGGCAGACCGAGCTCAGACCTCCAGATGCTACAGACGAACGCGCCTGATGATTCTGGATCGATTACGTGGGCGCAACAGCTCTGTAGCCCCGTACAGCTCGAGTTAAGTACAGAAACCCAACAGCACCTGTCGAGATGACTCGAAGAATACGAACAGCTTCGTGGACCTAGCTCGAGTAGCAGACAGAGTTGAGACCTCTAGATGCGACAGACGAACGCGCCAGAAAATTCTGCATCGATTACGTGTGCGCACCAGCTCTGTAGCTCTCCTACAGCACGAAATAAGTAGAGACAACTAACAGCAGTTGTCAACAAAGTCGGTAGAACACGAAGAGTTTTGCGGACCTAGCTCGAGGCTCTAGATGCTTCAGGCGAACGCGCCTGATGATTCTGAATCGATTACGTGTGCGCACCAGATATGTAGCTCTCCTACAGCTCGAGTTAAGTACAGAAAACCGACAGCATCTG